ACTTTTCGTGGTACTTCTTAGTGAAGTTAGAAATAATAAGAGCAACACTTACGATTGAAAATGAAAGTTAACACCTTTCGTGGTACTTCTTAGGGGTCCGTTAGTTTATAATTTACTGCAACGAAAAACAAAAATGACTATCTGTATGCTAATAACTAATAATAAAACTAATTAAATATTTTATTTAATATAAATAAATAAATTGATAAACAAACCAAAGTGTAAATCAAATCAAATTAAAACAATAAAACCTCTATCAAAATGAATAATTTTACTGAATCTGTGAATAAATGAAGAACTCTACATATACTGAAAAGAAAATAACGTTATTAATTGCGATAGCGACTAGGGAAAAAGACTTAATGAAACACTAATGGAAGCGATTTATTTATATTGTTTAAAACGCTATATTGCTTTTCAACTGTTGAATTAACTTTAACTTATTCAGCATCCCGTTTAAATGACACTTTAATTCCCAAAACACGGTATCTTAAATTGCCTTACTTCAATGCTAATGACTTAAGTGTTCTTTGTTTCCACTTTATAAGTTTTGGATGGATTATTGTACAAAAGAGAAGTGAATGCTACCTATCAATTGAAATTTGAAATTAGTTACATTAGAACCAAATTATAAATATCATATTATACTTAAATATGCCTACAGACCCCCTGTCCTTGGCACGCAAAGAAGTATGCAGCTATAATGTAAACTCTCCCTGAGACATTGACCGATCAACTACATATTTCCTTGACACTTTTTAACTTTTAAGAGAGCTAGTCTTGTTATTTTAGAACTTTGTCAAATGAATCCATGTTAATGTCACTCCTTTTTTTATTTTGTTTTTTTATTCACTCCTAAGTTCAAACGCGGCTTGTGAGAGGTATTTTGTCATACAACATCATTTGCAGCCAAACATGTCACTGGCATAACGTCTCCTTAATTTGTAATAAAAGTACACATAGTTCTCTGCCTTTGAGACCACCTGTCCTGAACTTTTATAGCACACAGCTACTTTCAAACTTGTCTTTGAGTTCGCCTGTTTTGGACTATTAAAGACCTCAGCGAATTCTGCTCTTAACTTTCAAAGGCAAAAACAAAAACACGAGTTTTCCTGCTACAGATGCCCGCAATTTATTAATACCTAAATTACATTACAAAACCCTAATTATTACATAACATTAGATCTCTATAAGATCCTTTCTGAGGGTGGAAGGGAATACAATTTGGTTCGTTTCTTCTAACCTGAATCACCGTTTGAAAAATGGATTAATGTTTGCTATCAGGTCTAGGTAAAGACAATTTTGTCTATTTTTGTTCTGTTTTAGGGTTGGTTATATATGTGGTTGGTATTATCTTGTGATTTACATTGTGTCCTCTTAATATCAAACAATGTACCATCGTATATTTAAGAGTGCAAGTGCGTGTCCGTACTTGTTACTATTTATGTCTGATGTCATAACCAAAAATTGTTATTTGGCGTATATTCTGAATTCTCTAATATATGAAAAAACACTTTTAGGGGGGAGGGAATATTTGATCTATCTTTCAATAAATCATCGTTTTTAAGTGCATACTTATCATTTTCTGTGATGAAATGTTACGAATTTCATTATGAATGTCGCAGCTTTGAAATAGAAAATGATGCCCATAAATTCGGCAATACACAAAGCAGCAAATGCTCTTTTTGCTGCTATATACAATCATGTACTCTTCTGATGTTTTGATGTCCTTTCAACCAAGTGTTCTAATCACATATGGAATGATAGAACAGCGTGAATATTCTTAGCAAATATTGACACAAAATGAAAGATGAGGACGACATCACGGGCCGTCAAGTAGGTTTCACAGCAGGACGAAAGAGAAGCCACATAATGTAACTACATAGTGGGTTGATCAATTAAGCTGACCTAAATTTCAATGTTTAATTCGAATGAATGCATGGAATTGGGACAATATTGTTCACAAGTGTATTAAATTTCATGATATGAAATATTATATTTGCACAACTAATAATATAAAATAATTGTTGCGAATTTTAATACCGCAATGCGCTGAAAAATTCGCTAATGAATGTAATCCATACTCTGACATTCCTCAGCCAGAGTTGTCTGTTAACATGTTTTTGTGGTGAAAAGTTTAGTGTATATTCTTGAAAATAAAGAAAACATAAAGCAGTTTTAAAACAAATTTACTGTAGAAATCAAAACGTGTGTGAAGTTGTGTGGAAAACCGTTCGATTTTTAAACTAATATTTCATTATCTTACAACAATTGTGAAACAAAATTTCTGATGTCGGTTGCAGTGTAGGAAAGCGGAGTACCTGGAGAAAACCACGTGGTAAGACAGGTGACTCAATACCTTTTTACGTCTAATCGGGAAATTAGGTGCATTATTATTGGAATACCCCACCACCTGATGTCTGATGTTAAATACTGTATAAATATGACATTGCCTCTCGTTCTTTAAAATAACAACAGTCAGCTAAGATATTGTGGCTTTTTACATAATTGTAATGTAACGTTATCAGCGCGACTTTTGTTTACTTATAAATTCACGGTTGTTCTATGAATGATTTATTTTAAAGGATCAAAATTTATACAATGAAGACCTATATTGACCAGTCTCAATCGATATGATGATGAAATTTTAACATATTTCTCAGGATGGATAGGAAAAATATAGAATTATTGTATTATGACTATCGCAAACCTTTACCAACTTTGGTACGTCATTTTTTAATTACTTAGACTAATGAATAAAACCATGAAACAACTTGATATCAAATAATGAAATACAGTAGATACAGCGTGCAAGTGTTTTTCTGGCTCGTAACTGCATTTCGATATACCATCCTTTGTGCATGAATATTTCACACTTGACACTGCACCCCCATAGCAAACCATGTACCCAACTCGCTACCAAATAAGATAATTGAAATGTTGTGTGTTTTTTTACTTCAGTTTCGTAAGTCGATTCTATATACTTATAACCAGTATCGCTGAAGACATTTGTGACAGTTTCATTCATTAATGCTGAACAGCTAGTGACGAAAGGAAGCAGACTAAAAAAGAGAATGAGAGAAGGGGAAAACAAAAAACAAGTTAAAATAACTGACATCGACAGAAATATATAAAATAACTTTTATGTCTTGACTTTTTTCAAATTTGTTTTTAATCGATGTTATTTGTGGGCTGTTTGTCAAAGTGACAGCTTAGCTCAAACAACATGGCGTAGGCCGGTCACCGTATTTACAACTTATTTTTACACAATTACATGCTATCGATGGAACATATTGTTGTCGTTGGTGGCAAAAACCAGAACTGTCCCCTATAAAGGCTTTTCTCTCTCCAACATCACTATCGCATGAAAACATAGCAAAATGCAATTTCATATATAAGGGCCTCTTATCAGATATATCTTAATTGAAATTTAGATATACCGAATTACTTTTAGTGTTTCGACGTGCTAGAGGTAATTTTAACATTGGGTTTCTAGATATATTCATCATGAATGTTATGACCTCACGGATGTTATGACCTCATGGATGTTATTACTTCATGGATGTTATGACCATTGAGTGTTATGACCTCATGGATGTTATGACCATTGAGTGTTATGACCTCATGGATGTTAAAACAGTAAAACTCATTCCGTAGATGAATAGTTTTTGCTTTATGTAAAAATGTAAAGAATTCCCGATACGATGTCAAATACTCGGTAATTATTTAATGTTGAAGTCCCGTTGTTTAATAATTTTCGACATTACAGAATTGTTTAAGTCCAACGTTAATTCAGTGTACTCAGTCTAAGGCGTTGCTTTACATCAAGGAGCAAAGCTATTTCCAAAATGAATACTGCATGTGTACCACTCTCTGCTTTTGCCATGATGTCGGCAAATTCCCTTTTCAGACTTGGTCATTTGTTTTTATACATCAGAAGACGTACACATCAGAAATGTCACTGGCAAATGTAAGTGAATGAAAGGAAACTAACTAAAGGCTCAGTTTAATTTTGTTTAGTTATCAAAACGTAATAAAACAATGTATGCGACAGAGGGATTCAGTTGGAATATCTCTTAAAGAAATTATATTCAAGATAAATGGGAATTAATATATTGTACGTAATTCTGTAGTCACTGGATGTTTTAGAATGCAGCAGATAAGAATTCGGATTTTTTTTAATTTACAGGCAAAAACACAGAAATAAATCGTTTGGTAATTTTAACGGGGGTTAAGCAGAGTTTTATGAAGAAGAGAGTTGGGAATTTGCAGTCCATTAGCCGTCTGCTTATCTGAAGTTTCGTGCGGAACAGAGAGACTTGGGAATAACAATACGGCGTGGATGATCACCGTGTGAGGGAACCAACTGACAAAAATCACACAGGCCTCAGAGTTATGTATCGAAGACATTATGGTAATTTCTGAAATACTTTTAATATTGACCAATCATTAAATTAGGTATAGTTTTGTTTGTTTATTAATATATACTATTGGGGGAAAAAGGAAGAAAAAATTGTAATCTGATTTTTTTTTTTATTTATTATTTAGTATGCATTTTCTTTTCTTTTCTGGTTAAATTGATACATTTGATGTTTTGGAAATAGATATGATCTTGAGCATCCATCAATTATAAGGTCCATATAACAATGAAATTCATATCTACGACAAACAAGATTTTTACTATTACAAAATGAATTTAAATTTGTTGTGCAAATACGGAAAGAAGTTATTTCTGTCGAAAAACTCTATCTCGTATCAACATTAAAAAATCAATTTTTTTGTGTTACCCGATATAATCATTAGACTTGATCAACGTTAATTTTAGAAGTTAATTTAAGCTGTCAGTTGACTTCCTAACATTAGATGTCAGAAGTTGTTAACGAAACTAAATCTAAATAACTTACCTTTACCAATTGGACTCACCATCAATTAGAATAGTCTGTTTTGTTCAAATGAATGATAAAAAATGAAAATAAAAAGTAGATTTTTTCAAGAAACACTTACATATTTTGCTTACCTTGATAAAACGTTACTTTTCTTGCGTGGCATTCTTCATTCTGAAATTTAATCATAAGATTAAATGTTAAACAAATATCTGCTGAACCACAGCCGATATAACTTTATTACTTTTTACACATTCGGAGAACATCGAAGCCTTCAATTCCATTAAATCGTTTGCTTTTTCAAAATATAAGTTAGAGCAAGATTCGATTTCTATATATTATGGTCGATGAAGCAGAAGACGCGTATGTTTTGGAACGCCAGGTCGTATTCTCCTTGTTCATTTTCAGGAGTCTCCGTGTAAGTGTTTTGTTCATATTTGCCCTAGTGTTATTGAATTTGAGTATTTATTGTGCTTCTGTTGATATGTTGGTATTTTGTTATTGTTGATGATGATGTTTATGTATGTAACAATTACGTAAGTATCCTGTTATGATGATTTATTAGAAACTAATTGCACTAATTAATATGCACTGCTGAATATTTAAAATTAAAAATCCACAAGAGCAACAGCAAATTAAATGTATAACCAAATCAAATCACAAATGAATTACTAGTACATTGGATGTTCTTGTAGTAATGATTATTCAAAACTAGCAACGGGTGAAAGTTGCATCAGCAGCACATCAGTAACATGTATCCAGACAATAGGATCAAATACATGTGAATACTAACCTGTGTATTAGATTGTATATTTGTTCTCACTAGCCTCCTATTGAGTGGTAAAGGTGGTCTGAAATTATTTTCCATTAGGCCGTCCCCTTTACCGCCGGTAAAAGTCATTTCTCGTAATAGATGAAGCTGAAAATAACAAAAGAGTAATATATCAGCGCTGTGGAAAAATCATATCTCATCTTAAATATTTGATAAGAAATTACTCTTTGCCAGCTTTTCACAACTATTCAATTTTTAAGGTTAATAACGAAGTTAACAGAAATTCAAAGTAAGTGAGAAATGTTGGCACCTTGCCACCATTTCTGAATCTAATAACTTACACATTAAGTTAAATTAACACATCATTTTTGAGTGGATGTCGGTACATGCGGTACCTCTACAGTTTCAAATATCACCACATGCGGTACCTCTACAGTTTTAAATGTCACCACATGCGGTACCTCTACAGTTTCAAATGTGAACACATGCGGTACCTCTACAGTTTCAAATGTGAATATATGCGGTACCTCAACAGTTTCAAATGTCACCACATGCGGTACCTCTACAGTTTTAAATGTCACCACATGCGGTACCTCTACAGTTTCAAATATCACCACATGCGGTACCTCTTCAGTTTCAAATGTCACCACATGCGGTACCTCTACAGTTTCAAATATCACCACATGCGGTACCGTCATACGTCTAACGTCAGTACGTCTGTTTTTATTATCTTTTAATGATTTTTCATTGTAAAGTATCTACTATTTTGAAACAACTCAATCATCCAGCACATTGATAGAATAAATTCAATTGTATAATGTAGAAAACAGATGTCTGCGTTGGAATACTTTCAGTGTATATTGCAACCAAAATGGTAATTAGATTATAGAAAAATAGCTATCGGTATCCTTTGGTGTTTAGAACATTTCTTTTGCGAAAAAAACCCCGAAAAATGATAGATATCGAAAAGCAAAGCCCGCCTTTAAAAGCCAACGATTAAATGCATTTACAAATACTGGATTTGTACTTATGATGTTAGATTTTGATTTCTTAAATGATTGCAACTCTTTTTAACAATACTATAACCCCGTATTTCATGCTTTACTCTCTACAATTAAATCAGAAAAAAAACGATATAATCCCTATTATTTCTGATATGTATAAAATAAGGAAATAAGAAAAGAAAGTACCCTGGCTGCACCTAAATCATCCCCCAAGTAATGCACATTTTGTTATCATATATTTATAGGATATATAAAAAATCTTTACGATTCCAATTTACCAGGTAAATCATAGGTAATAACTATCACTAAATGCCTGCCATAAACAGGGGTTACTATGCAACTGCACTTATGCACGTGTCCAGAAGTTCGGCAAACCTGTCTGGGTCAATCGAGTTCTTCAACATGTGATAGATGATTGCACTTTCTTTGAGACTTTGGTGAGAAAATAGTGTATATCGCCAGCCCTTAAAAGATTTAATGTGAAAAGCCATTGTACAGTATCACACATGTATATGAAAAAGTTCGGTCAGCTTGTTTTTGGTATGTCCTGATCGCCAAATAATGTCCAATAAAATGGACGAGCTTGATCAAAAGGTAATTACAAGATCCCGTGGCAATTATTTGTGTTAATAATAAAAACAATTTGAATAATTTTAAAATTCAAATAATATCAAAAGCTGTTCGGAACACTGGTTTGTCTTGCCTTTAGACTTCAACTCCCTGGTCAGAAGATTATCCCCTGAATAATTAACGTCGATGTTTACACGTTAATGTCTGGTGCATAATTTAAGATTGGATTTCAGATGAGGTGATCGAAATTTGATTGTCTCGCTATTCACTAGAGATTTTACAAAGTGTCTGTATGTTTTCCATTCTTTACTGCACTTATATTGTTAATACCTGCATCTTTAGTGTACGTATGTTAAGAAAACTTGGAATACAATCCTTTCACTAAAGGGTAATACGATTACATGTGTTGGGTATCACAAATGGTAGTAAATTGAGGGAATTACATTAGTCAAAGGCTGGAAAGGTAATTCACTGGTAACGGATTTTTCCCTCGTTCTTGTAAACATTATATAAATCTAAATTTGTATGAACAGTTACTTTTGTATGCATTCGGACACGTTTCACAGTTGAAGATGAAACATGACGTATGAAAGAACTTTTAGCAACCGTACATTGAAGAGAAAGAGACAGACATCGTCTTATTTCAAATGATAAGGGAGAATATGCATGTATAAAAAAACTATATTCATAACAGAAATCAATATGTAATCTGGGTGTATTCAATTCTCCTATCATATAGGTTGCATTGGGTATCATGTGTACGGCATTCTTACGAAGCGCCGCCAGTTTTTACTTGTTTACTATCGCAAAGATAATTTTGTCTACAGTAAACACCTCCTATACATATTTTGAAACTAGATAATATGTAGCAATCTGGTGTAGCCTTTCACCGCCCCTCTATTTATAATTCTATCTGACTTACCTTTTATTTTTGTAATCTGTGCAGTAATTGAAATTACACCAATACGCTTACGTTTTAAACTTTTCCCCGTAAGATACTGTAGCTAAATTTAGACAGTTCTGAATCTCTTATCCCTCAAATTCAAAATCTCATTTTGTTCCTTATATTAATTACATAAAATAATTAGCCATGTGATCACGTTAATTTCGTAATACGTGTTTATAGTCCGTTACTTAATAGCAAGAGTCCAATTAAAATAATAAAAAATAAGGTTTTATTAACATCCTGTGCTAAAATTTATCCTGAAATGAGTCATAGTGGTTTTTAAGTATACAATGTGAAGTTTATTTTAGGAACAAATATAGTTTTTCCTAATTGAAGCTTGACAATTGTTTGACATTCACTGTAATAATGACTAACAGTGGAGAAACGGCTATGATATATATGTTACACAGCACAATAAAAAATATGCTCAGGAAATTACTTCGACAGAATAATCCTTCACCATAAAGGTTGAAACTTGTTTTACAAGGTTGGGTGTTTAGACCCATCAATTACAACTGTAGAAGGCATTACATTTTACAAACCTCAGACTTGTTCTATCATAAATTAATAATGATTTATATTAGGATCACAATAATTAGTTGAAAATTAAGAAAACATTAAACACGTTTAAAGTCCATCGTGAAAATAACAGTTCATGAAATTGCTTTTGTGATAAAGCAGGCCTGGTAGACCTTCATTTACACGCGACAGAGGTAAAAAAAAAAGCCTTGACAGATGCACGTTATTGTGATTTTTCCCCTTAAGACCAAGTTTGTGATGATTAGGACTATGTACGGCGCTATGTTATTGCCAAGGTTTAGCTTTTCAGACAAACAACCTTCGCTGGTCGTATTTATGTGGACTTTGCACAAAACCATTTATTTTCGCATTATATAATTTTAGGTTTCTTATCTTAGATATCTGCATATGAATTCTTAAAAACAACGTCCTTTTGCAGTGTTCCATAGTTGGTACACAAACCTAGCTTCATTTGTTAGAAAAAAACACACATCCAAATAAGATTTTAGACGGACTTCAAGGCGGACACACCAAGGAAATATTGTGTCTGCGAAAACAAATCGTAGGTACATGTCATTGGTTGGAATTACTGTTTAATCTAAAAGAGCTGCTATTTGTCATGTGTATCAACATTCAATCACGTTGCAAATATGTAATTATTTCATTTTAACTTCAGAATTCGATTGAATTATAACTTGAATGATGCAGTTGCTAGGGAAGTAAGTACGCAGGCAGGGACTAGATTGCCCCTAACACGGTATAAGTCGAACACAATTTTGTTGAATTTGAATCGATATTATTTTAACATACTATCGGGACTTCAGGGCGACAACTTAATGATTGTGCAAAAAACACAAGAGAACCGTACCTTTTAATGAAATTTAGAGTTAGATACAGTAGAGTCAAACAGTGAATTACACTGCATCATTTAGCTGTGTCGTCTCTCTAGGACTCTTCAGTGATGCTAAGGACCTAACGTTTGAAGCCTGGGATGTGACTGAGGAAAATCAAAAGTAATTGAAAGAAAACTCGAAATCCTGATGGGAAGGTACACTAGCCCAATCATTCGATGTTCATCATATTAAGACGATTTGTTTATATATATCTAATATTTTTTCATGGTCTATAAATCAATAAATTACGAAGTAAGATCACATAAATAGCGTCAATGTTGATCAAGAGTTTAGTTAATATGTACTTAACAATCACTGACCACGTATTACTGACATAGGCTCTCTATACTGTCGCTATCAACTAATTGACAATACGATATTTTCCATTTGTCCTTTCATATAGAACTTCCTGTATCCCCAATAGCTTCCTACATCTATTTGATAGCCAGTGACATCTATCAGCAGGTACAGTAAGTTTTGTCTCTAGTTTGTGTATAAAGTCCTCCTACACTACAAACAGGTTCACTAGCTGTTAGGCATCGACACAATTCAGTCGATAATCAATACTTCGCATAATTATTAGTACGGGAAAATGGGGAGTAACTCTATCGGACTTGAGGTGTGCCATTCAAACACGGCCATTTTTTCATAATAGTATTGCTTTTCGAATACACAATGTATTCATGGTAAAGGACGCTTTCGCAATATTTTATACTTAGTTTCTGATGCCCATAAGATGACAATAACAATCACCTGCAGTGTTGTAGCCCCCACATTTTATGTAAACCATCGCTATTAGAATTTCATCAGTGTTGGTTATCTTTATCTTGCATTCAGGTTCCATTATATATAGAATATGTATACAGTACAGCTGGTAATTATCGCAATCATAGTTCACTCTATTCATATTTTGTCTACTGCTGTTGGTAAAGGCATAATCTTTTGAGTGTTATGGAGACGTTATGACATTTAAAAAAACAAACTCCTCTTTAAAAATGTCAGGGGTACACGCTGTTTTGCCAGTCGGTGTGAGAAAGCTTGCATAATGACCTAAATATCAGCTTCTAATGTAACGGGTTTAAAACTGTACAAAAAACACACATGTGAATATCACGTTTTAATTAAGATACACCACACAGCTGTTTCGGATTAAACCTGTCTTTAGGTCATTAAGATACATATCACAGCTGTTTCGGATTAAAGCAGTCTTTAAACCATTAAAATACATCACACAGCTGTTTCGGATTAAAGCAGACTTTAAAGCCATTAAGATACATCACACAGCTGTTTTGGATTAAAGCAGTTTTTATGTCATTAAGATACACAACACAGCTATTTCGGATTAAAGCAGTCTTTAAACCATTAAAATACATCACAGCTGTTTCGGATTAAAGCTGTCTTTAGGTCATTAAGATACACCACACAGCTCTTTCGGATTAAAGCTGTCTTTTAACCATTAAAATACATCACACAGCTATTTCGGATTAAAGCAGTCTTTAGACCACCAGTCCTTCACGTGTTGGAATATATATACATAATTGATCGTGTCGCTAACCCAGTTTGAGTCCTCCATGCTTACTTTGACTGTGTCTATGTCCATCATCTATTCGAATGGTAATGTGCATATCGCGTGTATTTTAGGATGCCACATTCTATCAACGCAAGATGTGGCGATTACATCTGTCGTCTTTAAACAGATCGTATTACTTATATTGTAAAATATTAATAAAGTGATACCGAAATAACGCTAGATTATTCAAACGATAATACCCATTAAGATCAAATTTATTTTTACTTAACTGAACCACGCAATAGTATTCGTGTCTTCATGGAAGCACTGTATGTTTTTGTATGGTGTTTTTTACCTTCGAGGATGAAATAATAAAACATATTTTGGTCAATAAACTATATCGTTGTTTGCGAATTGTAAATGTGTGGAGGTAATAAAACAACTCCAAACGAAATCAGATTTGACAATTTGTGTGGAATTTTGCCATTTCCTTTTATATCCGCCTATAACACGTTATATACCCGTAAACGGAATCGCTAATAAATGTTATTAGGGTAGATATCTGTATTTACGTCTGGCTTCGGGTGATGTGTTTCGTGACCTAATCTAATTCAATTCATTGCTTTATGCTTGATGGATGTACAGAGTCCTTCAGAAATGTTTTTTGATGTTTACGTCCAAATTCCATATAAATTACTGATTTCATATGTCTTTGTATAATCGCTTTGTATTGTTTTAATGCATCTGTGTTCTGTAATAGTTTTGACAAAAAAAACTTGTTATTGTCCCTGAAAACTATAACATGCTGGCTATCAAAGGGCCACCCATTAGAAACAACAAACTTTACAAGAAGCAATGAAAAAGGACAATTTCATGGAAATTCTCTGATGTATCCGAACTCGTGGAAATCAGCAATTTCAAACAGAGTAGAACATTTTTGTTGTTTATATGTAATATAAAAACCGGACAGAAAATAAATATGAATATATTTAGAAATTAATTTATGGACAAATAGAATTGAATTCACTAAAACAAACACATTAATAAATGATTCAGTACTATGTTACACTAGATGTTGACTCTCATTGAAATCATCCATTTCAAACCGAAAAGTACATAGTCGTTTTTTTATGTAATTAGAAGTAAAAAAGAAAAAAAAGAAACAATAGCAGTTTTTTTTTTAAAAAAAGTAACTCCCTTATGTATATAAACAAACAGGACACCTTTCACTTATTCAAACACATTAACAAATGATTCAGCCACTGTATCACGCTAAATGTTCATTTCACTATCATTCACGAGAGCCGATATGTTTAAAACGACAGGATACACGTGCTATCGCATCAGTGACGTTATCATAATTTGTACAATTTCAGGGGATTCATTGTACTTTAAGCACATTGCCAGCTGCATAAAAGATGCATAAAATCTATATGGTATTCAACGACATTTGAAACAATTTAACAATAAAAATCTCATGCAAGACGAAATCAGCTCATGTCTGTCTCGAAAATTCCTTTTAATGTAATTAATCCAACAGGTAAAAAATATTCCTCTAAACGAAACAGCTTCGTATTATATATCACAGTTTTTTATAACGTGGAAATACAGATATTGTGATGATCAGTTAAAGAGTTCTACCTCGAGTGTGAAACGTCTATTGCCATGTTAAAAATATCTCTATTCCTTTCTTCAGACGAACAATAGTTTCCTGATGTTGACTGGGTTTTGTTGTATGCGTTTATACAAAGTCCTTAATGTTGTTGTTTGGATTGATACAAAGTCCTTAATGTTGTTGTTTGGATTTATACAAAGTCCTTAATGTTGTTGTTTGGATTGATACAAAGTCCTTAATGTTGTTGTTTGGATTTATACAAAGTCCTTAATGTTGTTGTTTGGATTGATACAAAGTCCTAAATTTTGTTGTTTGGATTTATACAAAGTCCTGAATTTTGTTGTTTGAGTTTTACAAAGTCCTAAATTTTGTTGTATGCGTTTATAAAAAGTCATGAAATTTGTTGTATGCATTTATATAAATTCATCCGTTTTGTTGTCGGAATTTATATAAAGTGGATAATAATGCGACATTTGACTTCTATCCGTGTTTACGTCAAAGAATGAAATGACTACCTAGATATAAAAGAATATCAAAAATGGTACATCTTAGATCGATAGCATCACCGCCGTCATAAGACAGATACATTCTCATTTGTAATATTCCACATTTACATGTTGTCAACACATTACTAGTTTTCCATGTCTGAAAATTGTCTAATCTGTTGAGTGAGATATTTCGTCATAATTGCCTTTCTGTTTGGAATTATATTTCACAATGGCGCCATATAAGGGCGAAGCGGACAATACATAACTGTAAATAGCATTGAAAAACATGTTGTTTATATCATGTATGTATTCTATGTCTGATGAAGAGTAATGGACGAAAAAACAGAATGATTTAAGGCTGGCGATGCGTTGTTGTCTAGAATAGCATGCCATGATGACATCAGCAACATTAAGCGAAATAGAATTACGGTGAGATTTTTAATAAAGAGAGGCAGTGGAGTTAGTCACCGCTGTCATAGGCAAATGTCTTTCTGGCTTCAAATTCTGTAAAAGAACATCCCCCACATTGCGATTTAGTTTCATCCTTTCTAATGTGTAGTGTTACACCTCTAACAGATAAACGCTATACTTGACTAATAACACTTCTCACCTGATCTTTTGATACGTGTATCGGCTTATTTAAAATTATCCACGTGACCGTCTCATGGCAACCAGGTTGTGTGAGTGACCCCTCATACGTTATGAAATATTCTGACGTTGGTAACATTTCTGATACAGAAAAGCCTTGTATGTCTTTTTGCATTCCTGTAACATAAATAGAATGCACACTAAATCAGAGAGGCAGTATGTCCCATGGGTCTGACTGTTCCATTTTTTATTCTCTTTTCCCAATACTATCCTGATTAACCTTCTCCGGTCTGTGCAAGATCTTTTATTAAGATTGCTCGAACTGAACGACTCAAGGTATCATGAGTGATTTCCCTTTGAGATAGATCCCGTTATGCCTGTGAGATTAAATCGCGTTTTGCTGATTGTTTATTGAACAATTAACACACACATATTATTTTCTTTCAAAAATGCGCTATACAATGTAACTTTTTTTTACATTATTGATTCATAATATTCGTCTATTTCATAACTAAAATATCATAGAAGGACTGAACAGCTGTATTATTAATGCATTTTATAAAATATTCGGATTACACTGTTGGCTATTGTCAAATATATTCAAGATAAATTCACCTGTGTATTTCCTTGCAAGTGCTTCAATTGAACAAATCCATAAAGCATTTACCTATGTTTTCACTATGGAATTGTAATAATCTTTAAGTTACAGCGTCAGCAAATTGTACTTGTATAAATAGAAAAACCGGTAATGAAATTGGACGTTATAATATGGTGCTATATAGAACTTACGTGAATAATTCTAAAAAATACCATGTACCCCTACACTTAATGAGGCAGTGAATACATTGTATTGTTCCTTCCTTCTTGTGTGCTATTAAAATCATATCCACACCTCGTGAAAATACAATAAATAAATAAATAGTTTATCAAATAATATACCGCTTTCATGTTACTTACAGACCCCAGCATTAATTTCCACATACGTATTTTCTCTATCTCTCTCTTTTCATTATGAATTACCTACTCTATCATACGTTTTATACATTGACAGAGAAATACCATACCGGAAGTGGGGTTATCACCGAAAAAAATACATACCTCTTTGTTGAATACTTCTTGACATATCTACCAGTTTTCCAAATTGTTCGTTTCCTGATTCGGTTACCTAAAACATAACGTTTAAAAGTGAGAAAAAATTGACAAAAAGAAAAAAGTCAGATATACCATTACACCATGGTGACGTAACCGCAATCTCGGTCTATCTGTTAATTTTGTAGAGTTAACATGCCTCGTTTCACCTGACTAGACACAAACAATAATTATAGCTATTCTTAATTAAGATCGTTACTTAGATAAATGTTTTTCTAAGATATTTACGAAGACCTCCTGCAGACAACCGCTTGCGCTCAAAAATCGATAAATACAACACAGAACACATCAGCCAACGACAGAAGTATAGACGGTACCAGTTTGTGGAAAGAAATCAACTTGACGGTATGCTTACTGGGAACTTTGACAAATTTCAGAACTGAAATGGACCGTAATTATTCCCAATTAAACAAAAAAATATTATTAGTTCATATTTTACAGAATATGTGAGAAATATAAAAATCCATGTGATGAAATCAAGCTTACAAAGTTTGAAATGAAAATAATTGTTTTATTTAGTTTACTGTGGCATGTCGAATACAATTGTATGCGGTCAATACATCAAAGGCAGAGTGACATTCACATTGTTTTGTCTATGTTATACGGGTAGTTAAGGTAGACAGGTCACAGAACTGTTGTCTGCTCGCAGGAAAATCAATATAAATCCAGTTATACATCTCCATATCCTTGTCAGCTTGGTACTGTTTACATATGTTTTAAAACGCAATTAAACTGAAATTGTTTGAAATAGTGTAATAGTATTTCAATAGTTGAAATTGTCTCGATTTAACCAAAACCTTGAAGAGAAAAAGATATTGTTCTTGTTTTTTTGTTGCTTTTTTTTTTTTTTTTTTATTCTTCCTTATTTGAGGGTTTATCTCTATAATTTCTATTTTCAACGGATATGCCGTACTAAATCCTCGAATATAGAAATATATCATTTAATGGTCAGTATGTTATATAAGATCAATCTGTTGAAGGATTTCTCGTGATATCTTGTTCAAAAACTTTCTAAATTCGAAAGAAACTAGGTATGATCTTCGACCCATCAGCATGACCAATAGACACGTAGTCCTCAGGTTGAACAATATCTTTTATCGCCATTAAGTCTATGGAAGAGGTGACTACATACGGAATCTTCATGTTTTCTCATTTTCTCATTCACGTCTCGGTGTCATGTAACTTTACTTTTGGCCCTTCGAGAGCAACCATCCAAAAGAGGGGTTCTTTCATCTGACTTAAACAAACCGGCATCATTTGAGCGGCAAGGATAACTGTTTCTGTCATCAATACAATATGACCAAGAGAGTTGTCTTTCAGTTGGATAATGTGGATAGTGCCATCATGTTATTTACAAGTGTCATCAAGTTATTTACAAGTGTCATCATGTTATTTACAAGTGTCATCATGTTATTTACAAGTGTTAATGGTTGTCTACAGTGACTTACAGATCGGTCTTCCATTGGCTGTTTTCTTTTTTGTCTCGCGTGCGAGAGAATCAAGATACAATGTATTGGCGTTTTTTACAGTGACAGCTGTACATACCTTAGTGTTGAACTCCAAATTATTCATTTAAAATATAAAACTATTATCAGAAGACCTTACTAACGGTAAGATATTAGCAAGAACATCTAAGCACATGATTTCAATTTAGTTGACAATTAATGAGACTTTTTAAAAATAAATTTTGCCCTGACAAAGTTTTGCGTGAAGGTCTACATTGAACTCCATTTACGTACACAGGCTATCATAACAAAACACGGAATATTTCTAAATATATCCATCCAAACATAAACTGTGGATTCACAATCACGTGAAATCTACTGTTAATAAGACTTTGTTGCTGTATGTATAACACACAACAGACGTCACAAATCTTCAGTTTGCTGTAAATTGAACTAGTTAATTGTACCATATAAAAGTTTGCTCTTGAAATGATGATGATAGTACTACCTAAAATAGAATGTAATGTTCGATCAAATTTTCTGTATTGTTACAAAACTTTAGTTTTCGCGTTGTATCTATCGCTACCGACATCAGCTTTCGTCGTTTAAACATGTCTTCTTCATGATGTATTTATGTTGGTGATACTATTCCAAATAGTAATTGTTACTGAGGAATGTCTCAAAATAACTTTTGAAAATATATGTATGAGTAACCGTTGATTTGAAGCTCACGAGAGTTTTAAAATAACGAGGCGGTCTGATTATAAACTTTAGAGAATCATGTCAGCGCATTGTGAAATGATGATGGGTGAGAGCACTTTCAAGTGTTCCGAGGTGACGTGTGAAACTAGGTTTGTTCAAAGGCTTACAAACCTCATAGGTGGTAACCATGCTTTCAATAATGATAATTATTACCAATCTTCAGTTTTAATAATACTCCTTCTGATATATATGGCTGCGATTTATTTTCAATATTTCATCGAATCGAATTAGAATCATATTTTACTATTTTCGGAAAAAGGAGGAACCACAACAATGCTCTGTCCAATAAAATTACTTCTCCGAGTTTTGACTCGTCGGAAGTTGATATTGTAACTCGTCGGAAGTAGATATTGTGACTCGTCCGAAGTTGATATTGTAACTCGTCGGAAGTAGATATTGTGACTCGTCGGAAGTAGATATTGTGACTCGTCCGAAGTTGATATTGTGACTCGTCGGAAGGTGATATTGTGACTCGTCGGAAGTAGATATTGTGACTCGTCCGAAGTTGATATTGTGACTCGTCGGAAGTTGATATTGTGACTCGTCGGAAGCAGATATTGAGACTGCGTACTGCAGCATAGACAGGATGTTGGTTAACACAGAAAGATACTGAAAAATATATCAACTTAGCGATTTGACAGGGAAACGTTCTCAGAATTAACGTCATTAATTCGTTAATATGCTGACATCGTGCTATGAGCTATTGGATATCATGGTAAGAGATCACCAGCAATTATGACGATTGTCCATTAGCTAACGAAGACTTAAATATTACGAATTGCTGACCCTAATATTATCTATGGTATAGTGTAAATATGATATCCTTTGACATAAAACATTCTATTTCCATATCATAGGCGTCATGACCTTCGAACTTTAAACTTTGGCTGATAACTACCAAACTATACTAGGTGTATATAGTGACGTCGCAATACAATGATCAGCTTTATCTGTTTCGGATACATGAGATATCGTGTTGACGTTTTAAGATTCTGACATACTGAAAGTAACACACACAACAATGCTGACAAAATAACTACTATTACAATGGTAACTAGTTAAATACATGCTAGTAAAGCTGAATATGAAAGTTATTCGGGAATCGGTTGACAGGAAATTAATTGATTAACAAATTTAAAAGCATGATTTTAGGATAACACGTAAAATCGATGGAAAGCGGTAATTGTTCGACTCTGAGACGCCAACAGTGACCAGCTGGTCTAAATTATTAAAACATACTTTGTTATATTTGAAAACAAATGTTGACTTTTTGTGAGTTGATATGAGAGTACGTCGCCAGAGAACGCCGAGCTCGGAAGAAAAACAATGATATCAGTCATGGTGAAACAAGGGGAAAACTTACCATCGCCATAACTGATATTGCTGCCAGTCCGTGTGGTGAAAGGAGGGCTTGTGATGCGTTGGTATAAAGATCTCCATTGTAACCCACTATTTGTATCTGAAATCATACAATATTTCACAAGATATCAAGAACGCGTTAAAGAAATTTTATAATATATATAAATAATGTGGGTTTCTTTTCGCTTTAATCGTTTTTGTTCCTGCAAGTAATGCAAGAAATGAGACATGCGCTAAAATTCCGGATATATCATGAATAAGTATTTTTTTATATTGGAGCATTTTTCATGGTCAAACGAGTCGAGTTAAACGTTCGCTCTGGTTGAATGGAAGGTATTAAATACATTAAATATCATCTTTATATCTAAGTACATTATATGCCAAGTAATGAATCACACTACCCCATTCAACTGTGTTGTCCTAGCAGGACTCCTTAGTGATGCTAGGGACCTGTTTTTAAACCTAAAAGGCGGGTTTGGTATATCAAAACCTGACTATTCATGGTAGAGAAAGGAAGATGGAATTATCTGATACTGCACCTCAATAAATTTCATAAATGTTCAATATTGGATTTTTTAAAGAATGTTTAGTACAAGACATGGCTATTTCAGACACGTAGATGTCCATGTTGATAATATTGACTGTTTGCGTGCGAAAAAGCAATCGATCATCAGAAATGCGTCAATAACTCGCGTTTTTTCCTGCAATTATGATGCATATACTACTTTGAATTTTTACCGACGGTTCGATTATTTATACATAAATTTCCCTCATAAACAAGTACAGTCTTTTGATAGCAGTCGTTACATAATTTTGATGACCTAAACAAAGACAAATAATTATTTCAAGTCGATATTTTTATCAGATGATTATAAAAAGCAGCAGTTATTAATGAAACAAACTTAACATTTTGATTTTAGCCAATGATATTTTTTTGCAAATTGGAAAAATAGCCCCGACTTTTTTTCTAAGCTAATTTCTCTACAATGGTTGATGAAATTCTGAAATGACCCATCGAGAGGTAATTGCACAACAGCTGTGTGTTGTAGCGTACCAAAGAACTAAACATATCAGATACAAAATTCACCGCACGCGATCTTCGTTAGCCAATGAAATTTACCAGCAATATTATAAAAAAGATATGGATGTTATGCATGTGATTCCTGTTACGGACCAACTGTTTGTGGAAAAAAAGGAATAACGAAATACGGCTTACTAAAAAGGATAGATTAATCATCCAAACAGGTGCAGTATCCAGCTTTCCTAATTTTCAAAACGGAAAGCGGAAGAACATATTTTGTTATGACAAGTCCCAAAGATTGGACAAAGACACAACTGTCATTAGGACTTTTGAATATAAATTAAGACTTAGATATAGAGTAGCCAAATGTTGAATCAAACTGTATCATACATCTGTTTCGTTCTTCTAAGGCTCGTCAGTGATGCTACAACATGCAGCTGTTTCGTCCTTCTAGGACTCGTCAGCGATGCTATACCATACAGCTGTTTCGTCCTTGACTGTGAAAAACCCCAATGGGTCTAAATAGATGACGAGATAGAGAGGCATGCTTACTCAAATATGCAATAATCTTTATTTGCAATATTCAAATACTTTACAAGAATGCCAAGATATTTATATTCTGAACCTTGCCACTCTTAAATTCAAACGAATAAAACGTGATATGATGATTATGGCAAACCTCGGGGGTTACATGGCTACCAGGTATGCAAAATTTTTTCTTCCGATGTCTATTGAAACCGAAATGACCAAATATGCAGATGATGCAGCGATGCATTACCTTGACGATACAAATAGCACTTACAGATGATAATAAATATCAACATCTTATAATAACAAACCATGATACTTCACCCTCTAATGTGAATCAGCGGGCAGAGCAATAATGACAATGAATCATTTAATTCAGATAAAGTTTTCAGTGCATTGCAGAAAAAACACTAGCATTATTGTTCTTGTTTTAGTGGGTCGCAACGGTGGTACAATTGATAAAATTGTACATATGGATTGAAAGTCAGTTTTTAAACGTTCTTGGTGCTATAAAATCAGCGATTACATCCATATGGCATAAAACCTGTTAAGGAACACATTCGTTTATAGGGATTATCTGTCTTTCTTACGTAATTTCTCAGAAATGTGAGACATTTGACAACTGGAGAATTCTCCTTTAAAATATTTTCACAAAATGTCACGTGATTTTTCATAGCCTTTTGGGGGTAAATTTTTTACGTATTTAAAATCAATTATGAAAACATGCCGACAATTCATAACAACAACCTGTATTTTAAGTAATTGGAATGCGGATAAAGTCTCAGTTTAGACGAACCTTTGTTTAAGGTGTCCAATTATTTCTATTGTGCCTCGGAAAGTGTGTACATCACGAATTGCCACTCGGTCACAAGATATCAACTCCTGATCTTACATAAGCACAATAATGTATTCAAAATGAATACCCTTATCCTCGGGGACATATACATTGTTTCGAGAATGACGACCCCCGATCTGTCGCGCCCAAGGGAAGTAATGCGCGTCTTTATGTACGGTAGGAAGAGCGTAGTTTTAATATAAAGGTCAGCACTTGGAATGACAGCTGAACTGTGATCTAGATACAATATCGACTGATGTGCTACTAAGGGCGGTAGGAATCTAGCATGAGAGAGAAACAGAGTCATGTAGGTCGTGGGAGTATTGGTAATTAATTTGATGGGTAACCTTTCGTTAAAGCTGCTGTCCTTCCATAGCTAATGGTCTCACGAAAGTTAAGGGAATTCCCTAATGGAGTAACTTTAGATTCTGTTAGGTTCTATTGATTTTGAGTCTGGTTTATGATTATGTTGATCTCTTGGTATTTTTTACTTCATTTTACTTGACACAGCTACATGATGTAATTTCTTGTTTTGCTCTACTTTACCTAACTCTAAATTTGTATTAAAAGGTGGTATTTATTTTCGCGTTTTTTGTATAAGCATTTTATATAAATGTGAACTTAGTGTTTCACGCATTTTCTGTAATTTTTTTTTTTTTTTTTTTTTGCATCATAGACATGGGTAATCATTGGATTACGAAGGAACATTATTAAGCGTATTGCCATGTGTGTACCTAATTTAGCAACTTACTCCAGTAAATAATAACAAATAAAAACCCCGAAGTAGGCTATAAGTCGGGTCGTATGGCGTTAGTTGTTCTTGAGCCTTGTTAGTATGCATGACGATTCCATTGTTCAACTTATTCTCTTTTGGAACGTGACATTAATGACTTTGTTTAACCCAGATTTACATAGCGAGGTCATAGATCAAGCCGAAGACGCTTAACCTGTCAGAACACGTGGGTTTTTCCTCGTTTCCGTGTTGATCTGTGTTTTGTCTTTTTGTTTTGCCAAACTTTCGTCGAATTTGAGTTTAGATTAAGAGTCTGCAGTTGGTAATTACTTCGTTGTATGTGTATGATTTCCTGTGTTTTGATGATTGTAGCAGAAGTCTTGCTTGCTGCCAACGAATGCAGGAAATAAAAATATAATTTTATCACCGGTGTACTTGAAAACAGTTTTGTCATCCGATTAAAGAAAAAAATAATTAATTACATTATAAATAGTATCTTTTAACAGTTGAATACGTGTAATTAACCCGCACTCCAATTAGTATCTTGGATTACAAATATCCACCTTCTATACACTGTACTGTCTACGGTTTACACGTGTTTAGTAATAAGATGTTTACCCTATTCAAGTGTATGCATATTTTAGCGAACAAAACAAGATTATTTAATGGCGTTTTGTGTAAACTTTCAGAATTCCGAATTATGATAGCACAGTGCACATGAGACCAGAAACATTCTGGGTTTCAGGGTCGATCAGGCTATTTACGTCATTAACAATCGAGAAAATTGTGCACGGTAGATCATGTTTCTTCTGTCGAAAATTACTTTATTGGCCAATCAAATTTCCTTTTACATCTCGAATTAATTGGAATTTAGTATTAAGGATTGGCGACATCTGAAAAACAAATTTAAAAAAATATCATCGATGAAAGGCTGCTTTAAACAACAACCATTACAGGTTTTTGAATGAATTTTGATGACATCGTTTAGTGCGTTTTCGCCGATCAAGGATCAATTCTTGGATTATAATATGAAACACCCAGCAAAATAATTGCTTTCAAGGCAAATAGACGTTAGCGTTGAACAAAATGGTTGACTAGATAGCTAAGTCATTTTCGTTCACATTTGTCATTCCTTTATTTGTCACAATACAAAAAAATCACTCACGCTAGGTATAATTATTTATAAAATCAGTAATATTTCTACTCATTTGTTTATTTAACTTGCTTTGTGTAGTATTTCTTCGTACCAGTCATTAATTAGCGACTCTTTTCTTTGAAATATAAATCCTCCAATTAAAAGTTGTAATCTAAATCCTCAAAAAAAAATCTACGATATGTACCTTAACGAAATCCATTTTCCAATAAACAACGTTCTTCATTCCTGTCATTAATGTAAGAACAGCCATTTCGATACAAATAACCAATAGAGTTTTATCACTAAGGATAAGTATGAGTGGGGTGTACTTTACATGGCGTGGCACGTTGTCATATCATCCATCCCGTGCTACGTGTATCTGTACATTCATTACATTAATTATAGAAGATTATTTGCACTGTAACGAGCGAGGTATCAGCACAGCTTATAATGCTAGATATGTGGTAGAATGAAACCGGATTATAAAACATTGCTAATGCTGTATAATTATAGCAGAAACTGAACATGAGAGTTTACAGTAAGAATGGGATTATGGATTTTGTCTGATTTCTCAGAATATATGTATAAACATTATGTGAGGAATAAATCAATGGGAAATATAAAACTAACTGTTTAATCGGGAGCCGAAGCGAAAACAGATTGCTCTTTTTACCTCTTAATTTCAATTCGCCTTTCGGTGGTATTGTCATGGTTTATCATGTAAATCAAGCTTGCATGCTGCTACAGGACGGGAAATTAGTCACTCTCATCCAAGGATATGGTGTGTTATTCAGGGTAATGTTTTGAGCGTATTGACAGTCATATGACATCACGTTATGTTGCTTATC